AAAAGTTATGCAAATAATGTGTATAGGGTATCAAATGGCAATAACAATTGTATGTATTAAATCAGTGACGGTCGGCTGCTACACTGACTAATACCTGTGAAACCAATGCCATTAAAGGACCAGTGTGTATGATTTAGGGGGATCTATTAGCAAAAATGGAATATAATATACATAATTATGTTTTCATCAGTGTATAATCAGCTAAATATAAGAATCATTGTGTTTTCGTTAGCTTAGAATGAGCCCTTTGTATCTACATAGGAAGCAGGTTCTCTTCCATAGAGCTCATCATGTTGCACCAACACATTTCTACAGTAGCTTAGAACGGACAAACCAAACACAGGCTCTAGAAAGGATCTTTTGCATTTTAACATTACCTGAAGGCCACTGTAAGTTCTTCTTCACGCTTGGAAAGGGTGAGGTATTCAGTTAGTTGCAATTTGAAACTTTGCAGTTCAGTGCCACTAAATCCTACACACTGGTCCTTTAAAATAACTTGGATGAACATATTTAGCTGGTAGGATAATAAATGAGTGGAGAAACATAGCGAAAGCAGATGCTTCCACGCAGGTGCACTGCATAGTAGAATTAAACAATTGCATGTATTAAGTGTGGAGCAGGCCCAGTTGATTCTGATTTTGTACCATGATAGCAAAAGAAAAAGATCTAATTGACTTTGAAAGACGGTTCATAGTTGGATCACAGATGGTAGGAGCTTAAGTCATAATGTCTGCTCAACTGGTTAGTGCTTCAATAGGAACAGTGACTGAAGTGACGTGATGACATCTGCATTTCATCTACAGGAAAGACATCATTAAATAGGGTTGGAAATTGGTGTGGACAGCGCACATTTGATGACCATGATGCTCGTGCATTAGTGAGATACGTAAGGAAAAACAGACGGGTAACTCTTCCTCAGGTGACTGAGAATGTCAATGCAGGACGTGATCAGACTGTGTCAGCAAGAACAGTCCTTCGATAATAAAGTAGGGTTACAGTACCTCAACCACTCATTACAAAGATAATCATCTGAGGGGTTTATGCTCTGCAAAACATTTGAGAGTTCAGTGGTGCAAAAAACACAGTCACTGGTCTACAGAGATCTGGAAAAAAGTGACATGGTCAGATGAGTCATCTTCATCATATTCTGGACAAGTGGGTGAGTGCATGTGTGGCGTACACCCAGAGAATGGTACAGGCCTGAATACTTGGCTCCTACAGTGAGGGGATCTGGTGGCTCTGTTATGTTGTGGGGGCCATTTTGCTGGCATGGTTTGGGTCAATACATCAATACAAGGTTGTTCTGAGTTTCTATCCTGATAGGAGGGGTCTCTTTCAGGATGACACTGCGACACAACCGCAGGGCATAAGGTGTCACTGAATGGTTTGATGATGGTGAATGGTGTTCATCCCTCCCGTGGCGGCACATGGTGGCCCAACACCTTACTAAGACACTTTATGTTGTTTTTTCCTTTAATTTGTCACCCATCTTTATATGTATGTCGTATGTACATGTCTTTGCCTCCTCTACTACATGTAATCTAGTGCAGTGTAAACCAAGCTATGGCCTGTCTGATCCTTACCTTGTTGAGTTTGCCCAGTGCAGAGATGAGATCTGCCCACTCACTGGAGTACTCAAAGTTCTTGAGGGCTTTGTCCACTGCTGCCACATAGTTCCTGTACTTCGAGTCACTGAGCAGCTCCACTTCCTCTGCATTCATTCTCCTGGGTGGTTATTGTGCTAATGTAAAACACCAGGCACAGATATATACATCACACCTACAACAAAGACATCAAGACAAATAAGAAGAGAGGAAAATGAGACCAAGAAGATTAAAAATACACAGAGATCATAATTCAAAGTTAAGTCATTTCATGAAACAAAAAGCCAGAGCCTATCAATAAGCAGTATGTGTTCCAATATCTGCCAGGGTGCAGCTGGAGTCATTTTAATGGACTGAGTCATATAAATCAGCAGGAGCAAAGTCTGACATGAACAGCCATTACTATCTTTGTTTTATGTGTTTGGGAATGACGCTTGACGACGGACATGCTGAATCATGTAATGACCTCCCAAAAAAGTTTTGGAGAAGAAGAGGAGTAATCGAATTTCACACAATACTGCTGCTGTCACTCCTACACTGCAACCTTGCAGGAAAACATTTATTTTAAAGGAATGTGGTTCCAGACAACAGATTTCTGCGGATGGTGAACAGGAGAGGAATGAGTCTGTTTAGGATTTCACATTACAAGGCAGTCCTAACAGCCTCACCATGAAATGGGCTCTTGCTGGCATGCAGTGATGTTGTTAAGTCCATGAGGCTGACAGGCAGCTATGTCAGCTTTGCTCCCTGGTCTACGCAGTATCATCCAGGCTGAGAAGCTACCATTTAAAACATAAACACTGTTTGGTTAACTATATTACAGACTTTTAAAAGGTAGGCTAATCTACTAACACACCCAATACCTCATGCCTTTTGACATTTAATGAGTCAGTTCTAAGAATAGCACTGAGCAAACCTAATAATGTTTATCACTGATTACCATTGATCATGATTTTAATCAAACAATACTGCCAAACAAACCCTGGTTCCAGCTTCTCAAACATAAGGATTTCATGCTTTGTTTGTCATACATGACAATAAACTAAATATAGATTTGGGTGTTGGACTTGGTCAAATTAAACAAGCAATCTGGATACATCCCCTGGAGTTCACTGTAAAGAGTATCAACTACAATACTTGGTATATGATTTTCATAGCTAGTCAGATTTATACTAATTATACTATAATTTTTCATACTAATTATGCCACAATTAATACTCTTTTAATACATCAACTAATGGAGAGAGAGCGATAGATAGATAGATAGATAGATAGATAGATAGATAGATAGATAGATAGATAGATAGATAGATTTCGATACAGCTGTAATGAGCTAATATGGGCAAATATATATGGGCCTGGGTTATTTGTTATTTGTCTATCTTTAACACTCATATTGAAATCTTCTGGTTGGAATGATATTGATTATTCTCAGTCTTCTCCCTTAGTGTCAACTCTGGAACAACCAAGTGGTAACCAATTTTGACACAAATCATAGTTGTGTCATTGCTTTCTTAAGCTCAAAAATAGTGCCATTGGAGGAAGAGATATTAAGCCAATTAAATATTACAATATTATGTGGTCTCTAGATTATGTGAGTGTCAAATTTATGGGGGGCTCAAACAGATTTAGACAAGGTAAGTGACATTTTTGATGCGAGCTTTACCCATCAAGCAAGGTACCAGACTTTTCATGGTAGACATTTTGCAGGAACATTACCGGTGGCTCAGCACCAGCTAACAGGACCCCACATCAGTAAGCTATTACTAATTAAAGTTATTACTCACACCTGTGCTTTTATAGCTGTGACTTGTCAAAATATCGGCTGTAAAAGAGGTCTTAGCAGATAGAGAGATAAATGAATGGAGTTAGACATATTTTTCTAATGTTTAAGAGGCAGCCAAGACACTTACACTTTGACTGAGGCAGTGGTGTAGTTGAAAATTCTGAGAAATGTAAGGTTGTGTGTAAGAGAGTAGCTTGTAAACAGACTTGAGCAAAACTATTTGTGTCAACAATATAGTAACGGTGGAGCAGGTACACACACCTGTCGTCCAGACAGCAGCCGTTGTGTGCATATGTTGACACTGCGGTGGAAACTAACGCTATATATCACAAAAACAATCATATACAAGCACAATTGGCTGAGGAATATCGGGGAAATATGAATATACGGCGTTAATGCCATTACAGTTTGAGTGGGAGAGAGCTAACTGTTACAGTACCGCTAAAGCTAACAGCTACCTTGTCCCTAGCTAGGTTAGGTGATTTTAGCTAACATTAACGAACATAACACTTTGTAACGTTACAAATTCAAGCTGATAGAAAAGCTTACCGTTATAGGATACAGGTCAGCAACTGTCATTCATTCATGTGCCCGGCCGGACGAGTAAAATCGGCTGACAACGTCAATAATATGACTAGCGAGCTTGCTAACGTTGATAGCAGGTTGTTAAAATGATGGAGATGCAGGGCCCGGCTCTGATGTCACCCGTTAATACAAGTCAGGTCCCTTGACAAGAAGGCTTTGGAAGCAGACAATAGGTAATTATATTCTACATAGTCTTGTGTCTCAAAGTGCTGTCCCACTGTGTGTAAATAATACAGTGATGAGCGCATCAGTAGCTTGTAGTGCCAGAGATACAAAGCAAGACGATTGACAGCTCCCAGACTGCACTGCAGATTAGCTGTACGTCCAACCATAGCGTCCAACTGGTCTTCCGCATGGTCGTCTTCCGCCTCTCAGCGCTGTGAAGTCACCCACAGTTACGTCTAAGTATCTCCGAAATTGTGCGCTTGTCCTTCAAAATAAAACTTAAAAGGGCTACTTTGGCAATTTCAGCATCCCATATAAACCACCACGTCTTTGTTCAACTGTGCAGCTGTGAAAAGTTCAGAATGAAGTTCAGAATGAAGACACACGATAATACCAAACTGCACATTTTAATGCTTTTGGCCTAAATAAATAACAACATTTGTTTTTACTAATTTTGTTTTTGGTATCCCCAAAACCATGAAAACACAAACACATATATCACAAATAACAATTGTACCACACACTACAAAACTAAAATCCATATGTATCTGCAATATAATCAAGATATTATTTATCTGTAGACCTGTGTGGCGAAAATGAAAAATACTTGTCATCACATGAACACAGACTGAGCATTTTTAATAACATTTCAATTACACCATAAACTGATGTTTACCTTCTAAAACATACAATGGAGAAGAAATGTGCTGATTGTGGAGGTCAATTGCGCAAAGGCTCAAACACAATACATCTATCAGATCATTTCACTATATGTCACTATATAATGTGAGAAAAGGATTTACACTTTTATTTTGAAATGTCTGACCGGATGCTCTTCCCTAACAACGGTGTACTTGTCACCGGTGGTATTGTCACGCTGCAGACATGTACCAACCCCTGGATTCCACTGGCTAAATCGGACAAATATTCTCTTATTTTTACTTACTTTGGATGAATGTAACTACCCACAGTCACCCAGCCAAACTGAGTTTTGATTAGTGGATGATTTCTTTTTTTTTATTCTTCTTGAATATTGCGCTAAAGAATGGCAGGCGTGGAGATGTCAACCAAAACGCCTGGTGTTGGAGTCTTCTTAGAGCTGAGAAAAGGGCTTCAGAGTGGACTCCTTATTGTCGGGTGATTATTTTAATAGATAACTATTTCACAATTACAGTTGGGTTACATTGTTGTATGTATTGGCAAGTTTGCAATGCAAGCTGTGCTAGCTAAACTCGTTAGCTACCTTAGCCCAATAAACGTAAACTGATGCTGCAGTTTGAAAAAAAGCGCTGACTAACACCGGTGTTTCTGTTGTGTCAGTGACACGTTCAAATCTGTAACCTTAGACAGGCCTAACTCTTGCTTGAATTTCGTCACTTTGTGTCATGGCATATGTTGGACAACCTGCACAGGGGCCCTACCAAAGATGGTGTGACAAAATGAGTCACTAGCCATTTATTCTAATTTGTGTAAAATTAATTCAAAGATTAAGATTAAATATAGCACACGGGTACTAGGCGTTTGTCTCCAGAAAACTGTGGTTTCTGCTTTTTGTATTTTAAAAACTGTAGAAAACTAGTAAACTGCAGTATGAAAATAGGTTTTGTGTATGATACTTACAGTGTTTATCAATGGTATCAAAGTAACAAGGTGCATTTCAAGTAGTGTACTTAAAAACCTACATGTACCAGTATATGTGCTTAAGTATTTCCATCAGGTGCACCTTTATGCTTCTACAACTCTGCATTTCAAAGGGCAAAATTTTACTTTTTCAATCAATCAAGCAATCAATAAAACTTTATTTCTACAGTGTTTTTCATACAGGTTAGTGCAGTTCAAAGTGCTTCACAGGTGACTGATAAACTAAGAAGAAAAAAGGATTTTGTTTAATCAGCAAACAATTTTTTAAAAACTATTTTAAAGATTTCATATTTTAAAAAGAGAATAATAAAATAACAGATAAAAATGGAATAAAATGCAAAATCCAGATACAACGAAATCGGCGAATAAAATAGAGTCTCTAATAACTTAAAAAAATAAAAATAAAAAAAAAAGAACATACGTAATTAAAGGCCAGACTGAAGAAGTACATTTTGACTCCACTACATTTATTTGACACCCATAGCCACTTTTCAGATTAACATTTTGAATAGAAAACATCAGATGAAGTTATAAAATATGATGCATTATTATAGATTAAACTATCCAACAGTATATTAAGTTGACTACAACAAACTACAACATTAAAGTACAACTAGATATTTATACATAAAAAAATAAATAGATAATTCAATTCTGCATAATGAGTACTTTTATTTTGATACTTCAGTGACATTTTGTTGTTAATACTTAATTAATACTTAATTTTACTAGGTAGCATGTTGATGTGCTGTTTCAGTGTGCAGGGAGTCCTGACTGGAGTACCAGCTATACAGTAAATCCAGCAAAAACCTCTGTGACCAAGGTCATATAATAACACACACTCTACCCAGTCTACCCAGTGTCTCCTGGCTTCACACAGTCTGGATATCATATTGTAAAGGCATGCTAATTAAATATAATTTGATAGTATTATGTCATAAAACAAGAAAGTTAATAGTATTAAAAGTCATAATGTATATTTTCTGCTTTTATGCCTGTTGTAAACTCATATTTCAAAAGATTTTTTAAAATATTATTACCTATTAAATAATTGTACATGTACAGTGTATACAGCAGCAAAGATGAGAACCAGAGTGGTGAGTGTTCGTAGACAATCTTTGATAAGAGTCACCTCTGCATGCTCAAATTGGATGTAGTATGCCTAGAACAACAGTAGATGGGGTTAATGATATTTGTCATGGAGCAAAGTGAAGCGTGGTCCTTTGCTCTCTCACAGTGCACTGAATTCACAATGGAGAGGTGGCTCTGTACCCGACTGCACACTGGAGAAATGTTATTATTACTACATATAACTGCATTTGTTCACCAAGTTTGTTTTCAGTTAAAACAGTGTTTCTCTCAGCTAGTGGTCTTAATGAATTCAGTCATTATTCAGTACCTCTTTTGGCTGAGGCAGCATCATCCAGCAGGAGGTAGAGGCAGCTCTTATAATTGTAGTGGCATTATTTATAATAGCTCTTTACTGTACTAAGCTCAGTTCTGCAGGGAGAAGTGGGACAGTAGCTGGACTCTCCCTTTTATATAATGATGTCTCCACTCAGAATACCTGACATAAAAAAACAGATTTTGTTCTGCAAACAAGGGTGGCTCATTAATCACTGTACCATATGAAACTCTGACTAATTACAGATTCTCCTGAATCCATATGTTGTAGACAAGGGACAAATGCATTAGTACACTATGATTTGATGTTGCCAAGTTTTGGGAAATTAGCTTGTTGGTTCACTTATTATACATTAGGTATCAAGAACAGAAACTATAAAATGACCCAACCTCTTTAGTACAAGGGTCATATCTTGAGGTGAAACAATCAATCTATTTCTCAGTAAGTCGATAGACAGAAAATAACTACTTTGATAACTGATGAATCCCTTCAGTAATTTTCCAAACTAGTTACAGCTGCTCAAATGTAAGGATTTGCTTATGTAATTACCTGCATGTTTCTAAGACTTTTAGTAGCAAAACAAAACAAGAAATCTGAAGAAGTGACCTTGAGCTCTGGTAAGCAAATAATTAAATATCTGAAATGTAAAAACACTGATTCTGTGAAGGTGTTAATATAATCCTGTGTATTCATGATTCAGAAGTGGTTCATATTGAGCAGAGGTGAATCTGTGTGTCACATGAGGATGAAAGTTGTACTGTGGTTATTGTAAGTCAACACAGAGTTGAATAAGTTCTGTCTGTAGCACTGATGGCTGTTTGTCTCCATCTCGGTGTATTAGTTCACCAGAGACTGGTGACCAGCATCTTCACCCTCTTTACCCTTGTACAGTTCTGACCAGAGTGACGTTTAACCAGCAGGTTAAATGTGCACAGACAACTGATAAGAAAACACAGAATCTCACAACAGAAACAGAAAAAACTTTATTGTAACAATTTGTTGAAACAAATTTTAAAAAAAAGTGTGGGAGGAAACCGGAGCACCTTGGAGGAAACCCACACTGCCACAGTGGTGTAAGGATGCAAGAAGCAGCCTAGAGAATGACGTCCTGTCCCACATCCAGGTGACCTTCTGCATCAGGACAAAGGGTAACGTGGATGTGGGGCCAGACTTCAGTTCTATATATTCAGTTTAATATAAAATTTAACAAAGAAAATCATCAAGTCATTGCATTGGAAAAGCTGGAAGCAGCAAGTATTTGGCATTTTTGCTTGAAAATGACTAAAATGATGACGATTATCAGAATAGTTCCAGATTAATCTGTTCTTATTTTTGACTGATCAATTAATTGGCTCATCATTGCAGCTTTACCATAGTGCTAATGTGGAGCATCATTGTGAAATGATGTCGGTGTCATCCCGTAACAATCAGGCCATAAGTCTTGTGTTGTGTATCACTTTAAGCCTGTGTGTGTGTTTGTAAAGCCTCTGCTCCTGTCTGCTCTCCAGGAAAGATGTAGCCAATAGTCCTGCTGACGTGGTTTTGACAGGTGGAGATTCATCGCTCCACATCAGGACTCCACGAGGCGAGCTGAGCCTGAAATTACCTGCAGGAGTCACCTTGGAGCAGGGATCCTGCATTCCAACACCAGCGGGAGGATTCTGTGGAGAGGAGCTGCATTACAGACTGCGCATCAATGTTGCGCGAAGCTCAGATGAAGGTGACGTGTACAGAAACACATCCAGACACGTGGAATGTCCCTCTGCTTTGCACAGACTCCTCTGTGCCAAGATGAGAACAAAGTCTTTTGGTAGCTATTTAGGGCTTCTTTCTGTCTATTCTGAATTAATTGGACTGAGTCACTTGGTCATCTGAGACAGGGAAGGTGTAAATTCTGCTCTCAGCATACTCAACGGCCCACAAGCAACTGATCATCAGAGTCACGAAAACACTCCCTTTAAGTTTCGAATTGATCTCGTATCATCAAAAGTGCACCGCAGAGTCATTGCATAATATTCCCAAAACTCCATCTTTTGGCATTTCCTGAGATTTTTTTTACGTGACTCCTGGTGTGTGAGACGAGAGTTATAGCTAAGGACAGTCACTGACGAATCCAATCAAAATCAGATTGATTGCCCACTCCTTAGCCAAGCCACCTTCACCACCCGGTATTTCATCGATTTTGTGCTCTGTAGTACAAGGTTAGCACCCTTTCACCAAATCTGCCTCATTTATTTGTTTTCCTTTGGCCCTCCACAGATGCTCATGACAGCGTGATGGAGACACTCCGGGCAAAAAAGAGTTATTGCTTCTACTGCCAGGGCTGCATGACCAGGCTGCTGGAGGACAGGTGAGGAGCAGACGGACGGACGGAGGGGGGGGGGTGCAGCAGCATCTGTGGAAAATGGGTTTTTATTTACACCCTCCTCTGCAGGAAGAGGAGCAAGTGTTTATTGATGGTGTGACCCAGCGCTAGAAGTGATAGTCTGAGAGAGAGAAATTGATGGATGTAGCGGGAGCTGGAGTCCACAGTTGTCAGCCTGACTGGGTTAGAGTTATAGAGTCGGTGTGACGTAAGGGTCTGCGCCACCCATTAAAAAACAATTGTGTGGTTAGGTGCTTCAGCTGGACAGTGCTATTATTGCCTTCAGCTTGTAGCTTTCTCTGGTCAGCAATGTTGAAAATTGCAATAGCTGCATTACAGACACCCTTGCCCTCTGGCTATGTTTCTCAGCAATAACCCACTAAAAATTGCCAAAAACTTATTTTTTGATTTTCAATGGGGTCCAGGAAAGGTAGGAGTGTCAGAAGTGCTCACAACAAGGTGAAAAGTTAGATTTTCATCATGCATCATAATGCTTTGTAACAATATTTTGTGACTACAGCCATCACTTGGTGCCCTCTACATATTTTCTTTGTATAGCATGAAACAGAGACTCGGTTTGCTGATTGTTAGGAACACCTGTCTAAAAGTGATGCAGTCTAATACAACAGTCCTGCAATAAATCCTAACCTCTTGAGGGTTACAGTTTCCAGTTTGTGTTGAAACAGTTTTAGAAAGGAGCTGATTCAACTGTATGATCATTTTAGAGGCTGCAGTTTGTGGTGCTATTGAATCGTATTGCCTTATATGGACAGGTGTTTCCATTATTTTGTCCACCACACTTACATCAATGATGGTAGGCTAAATAGCTGAAGCACCTCTTTGCATAATGAAATACAGTTTAGCAACAGCACAAAATGATCAAAAAGCTTTATCAACACAAACTGAACGTTACAACATTCATGAAGGAGGATTTATTACAGGACATTTGCGTTACACTGCATTAGTTTCAGCGAGGTGTTCCTAAAAAACTGCCAACTGAGTGAAGTTAGTGCTTTACTCAATTGAATAACAACAAGTGCTGTATTAAAGCTGCACTATAACAATGGCTGAACTGACTGCATGTAATGTGAAAAAGGTTCACCCAGCTGTAGTTTCCCCAGTTTTAATGAGCCCTTTGCATCTTTCAGCCCTTTTGTTTTGGGTTCAGCTGCACTGATCTTATCAACCTCATTTCCAGCAACAGGAAACTGTTTTCAGCTAAAACGCTCTGATAAAGCCACTGTACACCACCTTCCCGGCACCAAACCACAGAAAGACAAAGTTAGCAACTGGCCGATGAAGCACGGTGGAGAATTTAGATCCAGATATTTTCTTCAGTGAGAGGAAACCAAAGCAAAACAAAAGAAAACTAAATACTGGACTTGAATGAATCGGGTGGTCAGAACACGACTTCACATGAGTGATGATGTTGCTTCGTAATTGCTGGGTTTAAATACATAACTGTTTGCTAACACTTTAACTATAGAAGAAATCTGTTACATGTTTACATTCAATCTACAAAAATACGTTTTAAGGAACTACTGAAAAAATATTTAGATATTTTGGATGGTCCGTCCCCCTCTTCCTCTGGGGTGATTTGGATACTTTTGTGTCCGACTTTTCTTCTTTTGGATTCTGACTTTCTCTCTCTTTTCTTCTCTCCCACTGCAGCAAGACCAATTAATACACTTTCAACATGGACCATTAAAGAAAGAAAACCTGTAATCGCTTTCTTTTTTCTTTTTCTTTTTTTTTGGGTTTCCTCTTCTGCAGAGTGTTTAAGCGAGTTCTTCCTCTCCCTAACGGTAACTGGAACGCCATCGTGGACGACTGGTGTTGCCACCCAGATCCGTTCGCTAACAAGAAGCTGCTGCCCAGAGCAGAGGATTGTTTACTGGGCGACACCTTCCTCCTTCTACCCAGAGATGACAGCTGTGATCAGACTCTCACGGAGGAAGTGAGCCCTGTTGGCGCAGAGGACAGTCAAGACCCAAAGGTGAGGGATGTGCAAAGGAAAGCGATGGTTTGTTGCTTTAGCAGGAAGGAAAAGTCTCTAAAACAGCATTTCAGGCAGAAAAGAATTATAGTAATAAAACCCACTTAAAACGACTTCGCTGCTGCAGGGACAGAAGAAGTGGAGGAAGCACTAAATGGTCAATAAAATATTTTTTAATAAAACACAAAAAATTGGATTTATACTGTATCATAATGTATACTGACCCACACAGAAACTCAACCCTCAGACAGCTGCGTCAGTGAAGTCAAACCCTGAGCTCCCTGTTTTTCTGTTAGTCACTCTCTGAACGAGTGGCACCCTGCATGACTGAGAGTGAGAGAAATAGAAAAAGAGGCAGATAGAAAGAACAAATGACAATGTGCCTACCTTATGTCTCTCTCTGTCTCTCCTCCTCTACTCTTTCCCGTCCTGGTTATAGTCGGCTATTGAAAACAGCCAAGTTAAAAATGGGTTTGTACTGTGGTGATTGCTTTCTTGTTCCACACAGAAACCCTGTCGCCGACTGGCTCTCATCTCCTGTAGAAACTGTTCTTCAATGCTGGGAGAGGCTGTCGCACCAGGTACACATCATTCGAATAGATTTTCATAAATAAACATTTTCAGCTGTGTTTACGCTATGAGCCTTCCTCTGTTGTTTCTCACAGGGACCCTGAAACTGTACATCACACAGGTGGTGGTGGAGCCCACAGTCGGAGACAGAAAGCCAGAAGCTTCACTTAACAGGCAGGTTTTTATCCAAACGTCCTTCTAGCGGTGATGATGAGGAAACTGTAGCAGTTAAACCAAGCTGATTTACAGGGAAATAAATAAAGAGTGGCTGTTACAAGCTGGAGATGAAGTCACACTCAGTCTTTCTGGGTTAATCATTGTGACTCTTGTCGTATATTTTTGTTCTTCACAATAAAATCAGTACAGGAAGAATAAATCAGTTCTAGTTCATTTGTATGTCACTCTCACTCCCGATATCTGACACACCACTGATTGGATTTAACTGAAACTTTAGAGAATGATGCATATCACCACAGTATTCAGGCTTTTTCAGAAATAATTACTCTATTACAGTGTCAGTTCTGAATGAAACAGTTCAATAACCACATCTCACATTGTGCAAGTTTGAATAATTTAAACATTATGCACAAGCATCAGTGTCTCACTTGTTTTTTTTCAACACCATGTTTTCACATACAGTCCAGAACCAAACTCAGTCCTCTTACAAAGGACCAACAGAAAAGGGGCTCAGTTCTTTTTGTGAGTTCATTTGAAAGAGGTATGCGTTCTCGTCATGGTTCACTTCAGCTCTGATGGAGCCTCAGTCCTCTCTCTGTTCACACTATAGTTCCTCTGGAGCTCTCAAACCTTTACTGCTTTGGATTGTGGGTAGCTTTCACTTGGAACAAGGTGGCTGCTACTATACTTGTCTTACCCACAATCCTGTGGTATTTGATTACATTAGTAATATTGTATTACTAATTTGGTTAAATTATTAATACAGTGTAGTATATATATTGTGTGTATACAGACACACACACACACACACACACAAATATATATATATATATATATATATATATATATATATACACACACACATGAGCTGCTGGACACCTGAATTTCCCGTAGGGGATAAATAAAGTATCTATCTATCTATCTATATTTATATATATATATATATATATACATATATTACTATACTATGTATATATACATACATACATGACACTATTATTTGATATTATTAAATCCAATAGATGTTATTATGTAATGTATGAATGTAGTAAGTTTGGCACTATTAAATATATTATTAAAAGTATTAAAAAAACTATTTAAGTACAATAAGCCTACTTCTGTATTATCCTTACGTTCTGTGTTATCATTAACAAATACAACCTTATAAGAGAAAGTGTATGTGTCCGTGTGTGTGCATACTGTATGTGTTTGTGTGGGAGAGAGAAGTGAGGGGGTGTAGTTTCTGTGTGTGGTAGACAGTTGCTGTCTGATGTGTTCATCCTGTATCTGGAGAAGTACACTAGTTATTTCCCCGTCCATAAGTCTTGCTGTCGTTACCAGCAACCGTGGTTCCATCTATTTGTTTTTTTTCGAGTGTCCCAGTGCAATAGCATGTGATTCTGTCTACAGCAGAGCTGAAATACAACGGCAAAAAGCATAACAAACCTGAGGCGTCTTATTTTCACAGTACACAGTTTAGGCAATCCACAATGCAGATTCGAAGCTTTAGAGAGGTCTGAGTTTGTTCGGAGTGGTCACATATGCTCAAAACATGCTGAGTTTGTTTTGAGGGATAAAAGGGACCAAGTGTGAAAACACTTCCCCCTTCACTGTACATGGACTTAACGACTAGCTGCATTATTTGGCTTAATAAACTATTTACAAATTGAGTCCTGGGCCGACACATGACCATGAAAAGTGACATGTTTTCCATAACTTCATCTCAGGTGTTTGATGAGAAAGGAGGGCATGTAATTTTGTCAAAGGTCATTCATCCCTCCACTCTGTTTAACTGTGAATGCATGACCAAGAAGATTAAATGACTTAAAAAAAAACTATATGTGTAACTGACTGAACGTTGCCTCTTTCGGACAGATCTGTCTTCGTGGAGAGGACAGTAGCAGCCAGACTGTTGGAGCTGTCGAACTCACTGAGCACCTTCCACTTCTCTGTCCAAACTCCTGATGGAAAAGCCTTCTTACTGGTGAGAGCGAGCCGGCAAATCAGACAAACACACGATGCTTTAGTAAAAATAGACTACTCGGTGATTTGAGAAATGGGAAGGAGGGATTTGGCAGGTTCTTCAAACAAGCAATATAAAACGCTGATTGATTGTGATTTGTTAGAGTTGTTGAGCCTGCTGCTTCTTTAAAATCAGCTACACATGGATTATTACAAATGGCTCTTTGCAAAACAACAGTAAAACACGACTGCGATTGTCTTGTACAGTTATTTTTTTGGCACTATAGTGAGGACAGAATTGTCTGTTTCATAATGTAGTGTTGTGTAGCAGAGGTGTGTTTGCACGTAATTAACAGTAAATCTAACTGTAAACACGTCTGCTTTAGCGCTTGACTAATGTGTGTTTATATTCTAGTACTAATGAAGCCGGCAGATGATTTTCTGTGCTGATATGTTTCAGTCTGATCACTTCATGCAGATTGTGTTTTTGGCAGACTGAAGGATATTAAAACTCTTCAAACTGAAACTCAGGATAGAAATAACAATATAATCAATTTTGTGTGAAATTAGGACAAAATGGAACAAAATTCTGCAATACATATAGTGTAGACCCTGCATCAAATCAGAGGTTGGTGACATTAGATTTACTGGACCCACAGATTTTTTCCTTGTAGTATTTTTATTTTTTGCCTGACTTTATTCAATTCAATTCAGTTTTATTTGCATAGCGCCAAATCATAATCTACATTATCTCAAGGTACTTTACAGGGTAACTATTAATATAATACAATATTATAGAGAGAAGCCGAGTTCCCACATTATTAACACACAGTATGTAGAAATGTGTTGAGGTGACTCTTTTGATGAAGGTGACAAAATAAGGTGATTAAGCACTGGAAATATTTTATGTTTTATATGTTATATGGGCTAAGCATGTGTCTGAGACATGTCATAAGCTTAAAGACATTTTTAAAATGAATTTTCATAATATTAGGATAAATCATGTATTTAAGTGACAAAACAATGTTAAATCAAGCAGAACATGAGAGCGAATAAAAGTATCACTCTGACTGCAGGAAGCTCGAGTGGATACGTAGACTTTATGTGACGGAGTGTGTTTCCTTGCCCTTGTGACGTCGAGCATGTGCATCTCAAGCGTTAAGTGACCTGTCTGCTCTGTCCTGCAGCTGTGGCTGCTGAACAGCGACTCCATCATAGCGTCAATCCCAGTGATGTGCGTCGGGGGTGAGAGGTCTGTCAGCTCTCAAGCTCTTCCCATCCCATCACCCAAAGCTGCCAGAGCCCTGAAACTCCTCTACGTCGCCTGCTCCGACACAGGCACCATGCAGAGAGAGTAAGTGAGGATGCTTACCGTATCCTCCACGGCTGCCGCCCTCCAACACCCCCCACTCCTCCTCCTTCCAGTCTTTGTTTTCCTCATCTTAATCTTATCCTTTCATCTTCCCCACACACCTTCTCAATCACAACCTGTCTCGGCTCACCGCGAGGGATGAAAGACGACTTTGTTGGTGAACAGATTTGGGTGCGTAATAGAACACTTTGCGCTGTTCAGATGTAATTGTCTGTTATTTTGCAAATGAGATTGCTATCAAAGGTGTTTATCATCTCAAAGTTGTCAGTTGCGTAAGCCATGCTCGTGTTTGTTGCACATACAGGGGGGGGGGGGTTGTTTTGACTGGAGCGAGGCTCTGTGTACCTCGCTGTGATGCATTAGAGAGGTGTAGGTGGATGTGCTGCATGTGGTTCTCCATGCTCAGTACAGCAGCACCCCACTGGAAGAGCCTTCCACTCTCATTATTTTCAACTGAATCAGGACTCAGCGTTTTTCCCTCCTCCTCCTCCTCCTCCTCCTCCTCTTCCTCCTCCTCCTCCTCCTCCCTGCAGCCTAAATAAAGTGAAGGCAGAACAGGGAAGTTTTGTTGTTTCTACCATTCTGACAAGCCCACCGGCCGACTGTTGGAGAACGGGTAATTAGAGGCGAAATTCACATGAAGGAGGGAAGCGTTGTCTTCTCAGTTTAAGCGGTAAGAGTCCATTTAAGTTACATGATGAACTGTATGAGCTGAGTGATGCTCAGGGAACTTACTGCAGAGTGTGACATAGCTGATAAAACATTACCCATTGCTAGAAATGAAACAAAAGCATCTTTTGCTGTTGATGTCTAGTGGACAAACTATGTAAATGTGACACAAACTATCTCAAACTTATCTTTGATATATCTGTAAGGAAACTTATTGTTACTTTTCCGCCGACATACGGGCAAATATCTGTACATCTGCAGCAAGCAAATATCAGCTGATATATTGTCCCAGCTCATTTATCATTCCGCCTCCCTTTATTATTTGCTGGTCAGTGTTTAAACCTGTGGCTGGGCAATTAATCTAATTTTATTTTCGATTACGATTATGAAAACAAGATAATCAAGACACAACAAGTTTCATCCTCCCTACAAAAAACCATCCCCCCATCCACTTCCTGGTTACATTTCAGCGTGTGTTAGCAACACACTTAGGAGTGTGTCATCTTGAGCGGTTTGCTGGTTCAGAGACTCTCTATATATAGTCGGGCCAGTTACAGAGTTTTCAGTATGTTGGTGCAGTGCACTGCAACACAGTGGTCTAATTTATTTTTAATTATTATTTTTATATACTGAATATATGTTTAGTAGTTTCAGTAGGTTGTGGAAGTACACTAATGTTACAATGTAGTTGATCTTATTTATTTTTATCAATTTATTTTATAAATAAGCATTATTTATTTTATTTTTTTTTTATTTGGTTTTCTATTGAATTGTATTTAAAGTTCAAGAAAGTCCAGTTAAAATGACAAAGTTTTTTTTTTTTTTTTTTTAAGTTCAATAAACACATAATAAATAATCTCAATATTGATCAAAATAATTGTGATCATGATTTTTGCCATAATCAAGCAGCCCTATTTAAACCTACAGTAGATTGATCATTTACAAAACAAGCTTCACATTAGAGTCTTGGATGTGTTTTGTTAGAGTCTCAGCTGTGTTTTTTTTATTTCACCCATTTCTGACGTTTTCTCTGAAGTCTCGCAAAGCTAAACGCCGGTGTTACTCACACTTCCTTTTCCCCCTACATAATTTACCATTCATCCTTCATCACTCATCTCTGACATTTTTAAATTAAATGTTATGCCTGGGGAGCTGAACTCCCAGGATGATGGCCCTCTTATTCGGGATACAGTCGGTTACAGTCGACTGCAGCCTGGGGTTGCAGTACGTGTTGTTAAAACTGCCAATAATTGGCTAGAGAATCAGTGAGCCAATGCCTAAGTGGATTATGCTTGTCGCTAATGGCAGTGACTTGATTACGAGTTGAGTGAAAGTCGCAGGCACCATCATCACAGTCTGGTACAATGGGAAACAGGAGGCCTCATAGGTATGGAAATGGAGTCTAATGGAAATTATATAGGCAACTCTTTTTCCATAGAATTCATTCGGATATGTGATTAATCAAATCCTGCCGTAGATGATATTAACTATATGACCGTGCACAAAGAATTGAGATGTAGACTGGTAACTTGATTAGATTTGCTAAGTAAACAGCTTAACCTGATAAGACCCTCGTTGTTGACAGCAAGTTTTCCATGCATGGCTAAAGCGGTAGTGTTTCCTCAGTCTGATATGACGTCTTAAGTAAAACTGCCAAAACTTTGAGAAGACTTTTCCCTCTCAGGAACTGCACAGATGGCTAAATGTCACCCAAACAAACTGGATCAGCACCACTCGCTGACAGAGCATCAATCTTTCTTCTCTCAGGCATTCTTCCTCTTCTCTTTTCACTCCCCTCTTCTTTCCGTCCCACACACACACACACACACACACACACACACACACACACACACACACACACCATCATCATCATGCACGCAGATGGATGCCACACATCACACACTCACCATCAGTCAACTTGTATCACATGTATCCCTACTTATCCAGTTCAGTGTACACTTTAAACTACTTAATTAACACGGCAGGGCGAATGCTGCAACGTGGGATTTACATTAGCGATTTCTGGGCATCATCTTGACTGTGTAATGACATGGCAGTCACTATAAATCACTCCCACTCTGTGTGCGTGTGTGTTTTCAGCATCGTAACTAGCTGGGAGGTCAGTGCCATCGGACATCCTGTGGTGCTGCCGCTGAAGGTGTGTGAGGAGCTGCTGCGAGTGATAGATGACAGCAACTCTACGCTTCCTGCGTCAATGCGTTGCATGAACTCCTATGAGGTGAGATAGGTGCTATGCACTGTAATGGACAACGCATGATGACTAAGGCTTGTTGATTCACATATTTTTTTTTTGGTATTTTTAGAACGCTTATGCCCCGATACAAGCAGGGAGACGCTGAAAGTCTTCTAATTCATCTTCATCTTCTGTAAAAAGCTGTATTAGTAGCACAGCAGTAACACTTTTAGCCGACAGCGATCGCTTATTTCACATACTTCCTGCTTACAGCACCTCGCTTTTCCATTATTCACTAGTGCTTGACAGTGTTTTTATCCTCCCTTAATTAATTTCATGATTCAGAGCTTTCAGTTACCAGCTTCGCTTTAAGGATTATGTGGGTCAAATGTAAGGTTTTTACTTTTGTCAGCCTTATTCCCGCCTCTATACACCTGTGATTCTAGGAAATGTGTATATTTAGCCCGAGTTGCTGAAGAAAAACCCTTTGACTGGAAAATAGGAGGTGTTAACTTTGCTGACAACTCTATTCTCCTAGCCGTTTTAAACATAGTGACAGGGGTAATTAGCACCATTATCCTCCACTTCCTGCTCAGAAAGTTTAGGAAGTGCTTAAACAAGTTTTCACATCTGCTATAAAAGTACGAGAGCTGAGATGATGTTCAGTGAGCGAATCCCAGAGCAGAAAACCCGCTGTTGTACATCATGTGAACCTGCTTCGTGTCAGCCTAGACAGGAAAGAGTGGAGTCCTATTAGAGACATCCGGAGACAATCTTAAAGTGATAGTTGGGGTTGTATACATGGGGTTGTGCGAGGCAGTTATCTGTAGTCGGTGTATTACCTGCAGTAGATTCAGATCAGCTTGCTGCCAGTTTAGAGAAGCAGCCGGGAGCACCGGCACAGAAGCTGAGCGATGCGCCTCTGCGATCAGGGCCATCCGCAAAAATGTTCAAAACATGCCCACAGAAAAAAGCTAATATCAGTTTTAAGTGTTCGATATATGTTGAATATTTTCACCGCTTTATCTTGCCCTACACGTAGCTCTTTCTGACTCAAACAGCTGATATTCAGAGTAATACAGTGCGTGGTAGTTCAACGATAATACGGTAGTTCAACAGTTCAACAACTTTAGTTCCAAAGGAAAGGGCTGTTTGATGGCAACATGAAGCTATATTCAAAATAATGTACAATTTTTTTCTGTGGGAATTTTTTTTAAGTAGCTAATAAACGTTTTTGCGGATGGCCCCGTCCACAGCAGCACAGCACTCAGCTCCTGTGCCAGTGCTCCTGACTGATATTATAAACTGAATCTACTGCAGGTAATACACTGACTATAGATAAATGTACCTCACAGAACCCCACGTAAAATAACCTGAACTATCACTTTAAGGTTCTGTATCAGTGCCAGTCCCGACATATTTTAATGGATCAGCTAAAATAACGCAGATCTCCGGTTGTCACCTAGAAATTAGCCTACTTTTGTCTACTTAGGCTGAAATACAAAGCCCATTGTTTGAAAATACAGTTTCAAGTGGAAAATCTGCCAACATTATTGTTGTACAATGAAAATTGAAAGCTTAATGTAGCAGCAGCAGGAATTGTAGCAGCAGTGATTTATTGGGACAGGGGTTAGTCAGTTATACCAAGGTTCCACCGCCGGTTTGATATTAATGTTAACGTTTCAAATCACTGCGCAGAGCACGTGTACCTTTTACATACCGCAGCAAAAAATTATGCTACAATGCAGCTAAAGCATGCTACACCTGACCTGTGGAAAGGGGCAGTGTGTTTGGAATTGTTCTTTCAATACGGCGAAGGAAAGTTCGATCTGTGCTTGTGACTAAAGAACACAACATTGTGGTTTACTCTAACAAAAACGTGACTTTCAAACTCAGATAATGTCAAAGTAAACTGAGACTGTACTATTTGTGATCTGTCTTGACCAGAGCTTTTTCCCTCTTCTTTCTCTTACATTGTGAGCATTGTGGTCAGATGATAAGCAGCATTGTTGTTTTCTGAGATAACAACATGACATGGGGTGGGAGGGGGGGTCTGGAGAAATTAGGCTATGTTGAAATGGAGAAGACTACAGATAGAGCGACCCAGACACGGGACATAGGATCTGTCTGGTGGTTACAGCGGTAAAAAGAGTGTGATAAACTGACACACTTGAACACTTCCTGATAGTAGGAGCCTCTTGTGCTATAGGCGGCAGAGGACGGGAAGGTAATGCGATCATAGAGTCATCTAGAGTTACCGGAGATGGACTGAGAGCGGCTGAGAGTCTGTGGTTAAAACAACTGTTTGACAAACACTCCCAGGGTCAGGAGAGGAGGACCAGCATGCAGCGGCATGGCAGACTGGAAGCGTATAATGATCTGAAGAGTTACGTCTGCTGGAAACAATGAGATGAAGATATGTGAGAGGAAATGGAACAAAGAGGGAGGGTGTTGTGAGATATGGTCTTCACACTGTCGTCTGTTGGAGGCTCAAGTGAGCAAAGGCCCATCATGTTTGATAAATATAGTAGTAGTAGTAGTTTTTTATTCAGTCATCACATATCATACACTAAACATAAACAATATAGACAGAAAAACAAAAAACAACATCAGCGGTCTATGTATTAAGTAGTGACTGAACAGGCTCAGGCCGAAGCAGAATGCCTGCCGACATTCTTATCAATTGAGCTACCCATCTATAGAAAAGAAAATTATTCACAGTTGTAACCCTCAAAAATATCTCTATAAACCACTCTTAAGAACCAAGAGAATATTATACATTTTTTTTATCCATATTTGTATTGTTCCATAAATTAAGAAAAGGAAATCATTCACAACTGTCAAAAATAGCTTTATAGATCATTCTTTTGAAAACCAAAAGTGAATTACACATTTTAAAAATTTGAATTATCATTGTTCCATAATTAACTTTTAACCCCTCTATTAGCCTTCAAACAGCTCTCAAATCGTATTTGCTCTCCTGTATTGAAAAATACTTTTTTACATTGTCTGGGAGTGACTTTGATTTAGCTCTGAACATTATTTGTCATTAAATTTCATAGCTTGAGACTTTAGAAACAATGGATTTGAGTGATCATGGTAACCTGCGTTATCAATAATACGTAGAGTATATAAAGGCTACGATAACATCTTACTCACTAATTTCATTGTTGTAGATTAACAAAATAAATACAAGTGGCCATATGCTCAGACAGGATTTAATAAATTCTAACCCCTTATTTGGTAAAGTTGCTCCAATAAGGATTTTTGGGGCCAATCACCGATCAGTGGAAGCAGTATCAGATGGTACTGATCACCAATCACAGGGTCCATTTATTCTTAACCTGCTCAGGTCTAAAGCATCTTTTCCTATTTTTGATCCACCCGGTCTCCTTGTGTAATAATTCTTGTAAAACCTCAACCCTGTAATGCACAATGAAGTTCTATAAATGAAGTTTTCCAATCCATTTCACTATGCGTTTGAGATCAGACCTGCCACACACACACGCCACAAGCCTCTGATCGGTCGACAGACTCAACCTAAAGCATCATGGGATTGCTAGTAGACATCTAACGAACACGCTAACCACAACAATAACTTGTTTTCAACGTGGAAACATTGATAAATAATCACAGAAAACCTTCAGTGTTGGATTTACAAAGTCTCCAAAAAGACAAATACAAAGCTTCTGAAGGGGATACGATCGCACCAGAGTCCTCATTTGAGCGGTGCAACACTAGCAAGCAGACTATATTTAGCCATCCTTTGATGTCGTATACGACATTGTTGACCTTTTAAAAGTAAAAGATGAAAAAGTATCATGATTTGACAACTGTTTATTTATTAGAACTGACAGCCCAGTGCAGTCAGTGAAGCCATTTTAGCTGCGCACCACAGTCCTCTGCTCGGCCTCTACAGAGACAACCAATGAAACTCCTTAGAACAAACATCAGCAGATAACAGTCGGTGGATGGGAGCACCCTTATTATTTGGAACAGGTAATGAATAGTGATATCAAAGAACCCAGCACTCCCACACAGGTATTTTCACATATTCTGGCTGATTGGATCTCTGTTCAGGTTGAAGTAAAGTGGAGCTACGCTGAGAGAAACTCCATGTACTAATACAACTTTTTCATGGCACATTGTGACATGTAATTGCAGAGCAAGCACAGGTGAAACTAAATTTAGAACCTGTTCCCGAGCCATGGTATTGTGCATGATGCCTCACTGGCTTACTGCTTACAGAGACACTTAATGGGACTGAGCCATCACTGATGTCATTAATTTCACCTGTGCTATTCATGCTATGAATAGTCAAAACGTCTGATGTGAAAAAGGCCTATTAGAGGTGAGATGGAGAGTGAGAAAGATGTCAGTGTATGCCACCACTATCCAGAAAAAGGAGGTCTAATCACCCAAAAGTGAAAACACCTGTGGCCGACCGTGGCTGTAAAGATCATCTCCCAGATCTCAACGAAGCGCTGTGTGAAACTGTGCGTGAAGTATGTTGATTCATTCATGAGGCGGCTTTCAAACAGGGATGAAAAGAGTAAACATACTAAACACAAGTATAAAGGAAAGAGCCATCCGAGCCACCCTCACGCATGTTTGCCGACATGCAGCCCTGAGAAGCATAATCCCAGCTTCACTGTACTTGTCAAAGATCTGTAGGCTTGCAGTCTAAAAATGTAATGGCAGAGTATGTTTACCTTAAACATTCATCATGGGCTAGATAATTGGGTTGACTTTAGGATTTGTCAACAACACTGGGCCTTTTTTTTTTTTTAACTGCAAACAGTTTGACTCACAAGTGTAAATAACAAAGATGGCTTATTTCCATTTAAGTGTCCCAGTAGTCTATTTCAGTTTGCACAGTAATTTTAGCAGGACCGGTCATGGTCCTAATTTTGTTGCAACTGTGTGAGGTGTATTGACTTGGAAAAAACAAAACACAAAAAAAAACACCTGGTGACAAATCCAGCAACTCTTTGGATAAACCTCAGCAACTTTCCATAGAAGAGTCGCCAGTGAGCTACTGCCAC